TAATTGCTAATTTGAATTTGGAGCTAGAACAATTTGATATTTAAATTGCTTTCTTGCATGGTGATCTTGATGAAGAAATTCATATGTGTCAACCTGAAGGTTTTGAGAACAAAAGCAATCTTAACTTGGTTTGCAAGTTGAAAAAGGGATTGTATATTTGAAACAAGCATCTAGACAATGGTATAAGAAATTTGACAATTTTATGCTGGGTGAAGGTTATTCTAGATACGATTTTGATCATTGTGTGTACTTCAAGGGTCCAGCATATGATTCTTTTACTGTTTTATTGCTTTATGTTGATGATATGCTTGTTGCTAACAATGATCTAAGTAAAATCAAGTGTTTAATACTTGATATACTCAAGCATTTTTCCACCAAGGATCTTGGACCAGCCAAGAAGATTTTGGGTATGCACATCCATAGAGACAAAAAACAAGGTAAGCTTTGGTTTAGTCAATCTGAATATATTTCTAAAGTTCTTGAGCACTTCAATATGATTGACTGTAAATATGTTTCTACGCCATTAGCTGCACATTTCAAGTTATCTAAAAAGGACTCTCCAATGAATGAGGTAGATAGAAGTAAGATGAAGAATGTTCTATATACTTCTGTAGTGGGTAGTTTGATATATACAATGGTTTGTACTAAACCTAACATTGGCCATGCAGTGGAAGTTTTTTCCAGATTTATGTCTAATCTAGGTTGGGAACATTGGCAAACAATTAAGTAGATTCTTCGGTATTTGAAGGGGACACGAAATGTATGCTTGTGTTTTGAAAATTCTCATTGGGAGTTGTTGGTTATATAGATGCAGATTATGCAGGATGCTGTGATACTAGAAGGTCTACCACTAGATATATTTTCAATGTTGGTAGTGGTGCTATCACCTGGATGTCAAGGTTACAGGATATTGTTGCCTTGTCATCAACTGAAGTTGAGTATGTGGCATTGACTGAGGCAGTGAAGGAAATGATTTGGTTGAGAAGGTTACTTGGAGAGTTTGGGGTGAAACATGATAAACATGTTGTTGATTTGTGATAACCAAAGTGTTATTCATTTGGCTAAGAATGCAGTTTATCACTCCAAGACAAAGCATATAGATATTATATATCATTTTATTCAGTTGGCCCTCGAGCGTAGAGAATTGCAGGTGGACAAGATTCACACTGAGAAAAATATTGCTAATATGTTGACAAAGGTTGTCTAAACTGAAAAAAAACATGATGTAAAAAAGACTTTCGAGGTTGGAGGAGTCATAACCTCGAGTGGTGCATTGGTAATTATTTCAGGGACTTTGTGTTTTGTCTTCAAGTAGAAAAATGTGACATGTATGAAAACAAATCACACATGTAGATATTTTATTTAAATTATCTCTCTTTTATTTTGGACCATTGTATTGCATCTAATCCAATGGTTGTGGTGTTGTAGGAACTTTACCCTTTTAAAGGGATTAAAAGCCTTTTGTTTAGAGAGAGAAAGATCGAGAAAAAGATAGAAAGATTGGGCTATAATTGGGTTTTCTCTTGAGAGCTTAGTATGCTCTATTTTAGAGAGAGAAAGTGAGCAAAAAAGGCTTAAACTTCATTGTGGGTTTGTTGTGTACCTTGTTTTAGTGAGAGAAAGTGTTAAAGAGAACTCATTTTTAGGTATTCTTTGTGCTTTATTTTCGAACTCTGTTTAGAGTAAGAAATAGCTGCAGGAAATTGATATTTTGAGTTCGATTTCACTTTATAATATTCCAAATAAGTAAGTAAAGTATCGCATCATTCTCCTGTGGATGTAGGTCACGATTTGTGACCGAACCACGTTAAATATTTTCTGTGGATTGAATGTTGTTGGATTTTTCATTCCATATTCTTTATTTGATATTATGTAATTTTCATTGCTTGTTTATATTGATATGAATGCGCAACAGCTATGAATGTTATAAACCCTTGCTGATTTTTCACCAATCAATCCCAACAATTAGCTCTAGAGGATCATCAGCATTAGGCTCCTTGTAAGCCCTTTGCTCCACTGAATCATTGAAATTCTTTTAATATTGGTGATCTAATCATCAATGTTTTTCACGATTTTCCTCAATGCTGGTTTTATTACCTCCATCAATTGCCTTATTTCCTCCATGGCGACACACCCATTGGAAAGAGCCTTGGAACATTGCGCTAATAACCTAATGTTCCCTTGCCAAGGGTTCTATATGTTGTGTTTATGTAAACCTCTTTTGATTTTTAATAAAATGGGTAGGGGCCCGATATCCCCACTGATTCACCAAAAAAAAAAAAACAAAAGATTTGTTATGATCCTATGCCAAATATAATTGCAAATACTAAAATGAATTTGAGCTTTATTAAAAATATAACCGCTTCGATGGGACAAACCTCCTTATAAGCCACTTCGAGCAGGCCAATCCTCCATTAGGTTTATACATATATATATGGAAAAGTCTTCTTAACGCCTATATGCAAAAATGAATAGTGATTTCGCCTATCTTCATCAACGTCCAAGTTTCATCACGCGGTCACGATTGTCCGGTAGTGTTTTATTTTTCATTTTTTTTATGAATTAGAACGATATGAAAATTTGAAGGTATGTACATCTTACTGAGGCGCATCTAATAAAAGTATAAAAACAATTATCCGTGAAAAATAAATTGATCAAAATACCCCTGAAACATTTCAGTGTATTTGGCCAATTTTTTTATGTAAAATATTGTTTTTATATTTTTCGAAGATTCTTCTATTTTTGATTAATACACACTCCAAATTTCAAGTCATTCCGATTTGTAGAAAGAAAATGAAGTATGAAATACTACTGGACAATCGTGATTATACGATGAACTTTGGACGGTGATGGAGGTAGGCAAAATCACTATTCATTTTCACCTATAGACGTTGCGTAGTGTTTTCCTATATATATATATATATATGTTTCCAAGCTCCCTTCTACTCGTTTCGCTCTCCGTATTTATTTCCTTCTAAAACACTATCTCCCCATCTAAGCAACTGTAATCTTTAAGTAATACTTATCCTACCAATTAATCAAATATACATCATACCCATCCAAAAAACAAATCCAACCTACATTCTCTAAACAATAGGAAACTACTTCCTATACAGTCTACGAATCAAGATTACGATCGTTTAGTGTTGTGCCTTGATTTCTATCGCCCGAGTAGGATTTCTATGATTTTTTATGTGAATGTGGCTGTGTAATTTCTCATGTGTATTGTTTTACACGAGATTATTGTGTTTAGTTTCATTATCGGGTTTTCATGGAAATGGGCGATCTATTTTGGTATTTGAGTGTGGCGATTATTTGTTGTTTGGGATGAAGAAATAGACAAACAATTTAATCCCAATTTAATCCCTGCAGTCTTGTTAAAGGTCTAGTTCCTTGTTTATTTTATTTATTTTTTGACTTTCTTCATTTTGATAACGGCGCGTGTCTTCCCTCTGCTCAATGTTTTTGTTTTAGTTACATGTTCTTGTGCTCAAATTTTTTTTGTTTTAGTTACATGTTCTTCTTGCTCTTTGTACGCAATTGTTTTTTATGACATGGTATAATAAGGTTGAAGACTTTAAACGTTTGTTGAAACCGTTTCAACCTGGATAAAGGAGGTGGGTTGAGTTAGGTGGCAGCCAGCCTAAAACTTTGCCACATCTAATCGTGAATCCAGAACCTATATTAAATGGAGGAAAATGATTCATGTAGCCAATCCCAAATAATTGGAATAAGACATGGATGATGATGATGTTTTTATTTATAGTACTATGTATTTACTCGTATTCCCCATGGCAGTTGGGATTTTTTCATTGTGAAATTTTATAAAGAACTCTTTTGTTTATATTTGGATCATGTAGTTGTAATAATTGAGCTAAAACTTACAACTGATAGAGGGGTTTTTATTGTTTTTGTTTATCAACATGCGGACTTCATGCTTGCTCCGAGATTTTATGTCATTCTTGTTTTCAATTTTTATTTGTTTTTTCCTTTTAGAAATATGACCTTATTAACATTCGTTTTGATCTAATTTTCCTATTGGATGTTGATTTTCACAGTTTCACTCTATGTAATATAGCTCTTTCTGTTCATAACCTCAGACTTGCAGTTTTAGCTGACCAAAAAATTCACCAATAAAGTTGTCTATGTATTCCAATGTCGGAATGTTGTTATATTCGCATGTTATAGGGACATGCGACTTTACTTTCATCTTTTTTTACTTTTTCTTGTTCCTTCATGATGCTTCCATTTTTATATTAGATAGTGTTTGTATTTTGTGTTAGTTACTACTTTTCTTAAGTGGATTTATTAACTTCTAAGATGATTCATTTCCAATGGTTTTGTGGGCTCAGATTTTGTGTGAATTTGTGAGAATTATCAATGGCTGAGAAATTTTTTATGCATGAAATGTGAATTTCTTTCAATTTAGTAAGAGTTCAATAATGGTTTTGTGCTTATTTCCTAGTACTTTGTATTTTTCCTTTACCGTGGGAGATTGGGCCTCTGTTGCACTCTCATCCTTGCCTAGCTTTTTTTCTGCAATATTATATACTTATTTATACATTTTTTATTATTAATTATGTGTTGCGAATATTATGTCTCATCAAGAAATTTTTTTAAGTAATTCACTGGAAAAAAATAAGCCCTATCTATTTAAGAATTAGTTAATTTGAAAGGGTTAAGGAGGTGGTATAAGTGGGAATGGAAACGACAACTTGGGTACTAGGGTTTGAGGGTGCTATCACCACGAACCAACTCCTTTCCCAACATGTATCAAAAGATCGTACTTTCCCAACATGCATCAAAAGATGGTACAGGAAAGATATGAAACGTGCTTTCCCAACATGCATCAAAAGATGGTACAGGAAAGATATGAAACTTGAAAGACTATCCAATTCATTAGGGGAAATCAAATGAAAAGCTCGAACAAATATTTCCAAACTGCAAAACATCGGTACATAGAGAAAGCAACATCAGACATGACGATACAAGAATGACAAACAAATTTGAAAGAGGGTCTCCCAAACCATCCAGCTATCAGATTACAGCCATGGCCACCACCCCTAAGATCATCAAGACAACTGTTGAAGCTGATCCAATCTCTGCCCCACTATCGAATGGCGTGTTATCAACCAGCGGCTGGCTAGTCGAGAAGGGCGGCTGTTGGGCTGTGCCAGAGAACGAGAACGGTTGTTGATTAATCAGAGGCTGCGGATGCAACGGCTGCTGTTGAGTCAGGGGCCCCTGTTGAGGCAGAGCTTCTTGTGTTGTCAGAGGTTGTTGTGGTGCCACAGGCTGTAGTGGTTGCTGTGATGCCAGGGGTTCCGGTTGAGGTGCTAGGGGCTCGGGCTCATGTGGTGTCAAGGGCTCCTGTGGTGGTGCAAGTGGCTCCTCCTGAGTAAGGGGCACTGCAGCTCCACCAGCAGGTTGTGGATGAAGTGGCTGCTGGCCAAAAGGCAATCCTGACGATATGGGAGTTGCAAAAGGAGGATGCGCAGAAACCTGCCCAGGCGCCCCCACCGAACCACAGTGTTGGTTATTGCGTATATCGTCGCTAGCCTTCCAGTTCAGCTCCCCATCTTTGTCCCTTATCTGCATGTTTCCATCATCGAGCAGTACCAGTGTCTCAATGTGGTTCCCTTCGGCGCCTGTGTCCCAGGCCGACATGGAGCCATCATAGATCTCGAGACCGGCGTCTGAGAAAACAAGGCTGCAGGCATTGGATGTACTGACAGGAGTGCACTCCGACTCCCAGACACTCTGCCCACCATGCTCAATCTGCATGTAGCAGAAGTCGCTGCCAAAGCCTCCCGCACCGATGGCCGTCTGGGTTCGAATCAGGAGGGCATGGTACTCCCCGGAAGGGGAGGTTACGAAGACATGAGCAACTCCTGGCGACGTTAACACTGTGGAAGTGGAGTATGGGGTGGGAGGTATGCTTGCGACGATCTGTTGCTTCGTGACCCTCTGAATTGTGCCCGGGACTGGCGTAACCGCCGCACTGGGTGGTAGTGGGCTCATAGCCATGGCTAAGAGTAGAGAAGCAAGGTAAAGAGTTGCCAGCTTCTCCATGGATAGGTTCTCTCTCTCTCTCTCAAGCTTTTGATGTTTCCTTTCTCTCTAATGAAGTTTGATCTCTCTCGCTCTGGTTGTTGTTTGTGTGTCCTGAGGGTGGATGTTTATATAGAGCAGTTGTGCCTTTGAGTTGTTGTTATGGTGGGGCTGTTAAGCATGCGTAAGAAGAAGGGGGGATTAGATTGTGGTCCATCGTTCAAATAGTAGTCCAATTAATATTAAGAGTGAGGGGAGTTAGTGTATTAGGCCCAACAACTTCAATTGGGGTATTTTAGTCTTCATTCGGTACAGTAGATAGTTGATTAATATGAAACATCTTTTGAATTCTCACACTCTAATTCATCTCACGACTAGTGTACTAAACTTTGCGGTCTCTGATTTATCAAATATTATACATGGACAAATGACTGGTATACTATGCTCCCTCAGGAACATACTATATATTTACCCCCTAGAGCAAAACCCCAACTTGGGTTTTCAATTTGAAGTTTCAGGATCTATCTAATTATAACTAGTTGATTTTGTTCAAGGAAAAAACTTAAATTTTGAGTTAATAAATATCTAGATCATTCCCTTTATGTTCAGCGAAAAAATAGATTTTGAGTTCATCTTAAATCATTCCCTCCAAAAATTGGGACGGTTCCTGTATAATTGGGATTATATTTTGTTTAGGCACATACATAAAGAGTGAAAGTTGAAATTTTATTTTATTTGAGGTCGTTTGCAGGATTCTAGAAATCACATCCCTAATATTTAAGATAAAAAATTATATCTCTAGAGTAAACTGATCCATTGCAAAACTATTTAATGTATAGATGTGGAATCAATAGCTATAATTTATACGGCGTTATACTTCATGCTTATTTTGGCAAAGGGACACATTTAACAAAGGAAAAAGTTTACATAAGGATGCAACCTTATAATGTAGAACTACGAATGTATCTCAAAAGTCTATCAGATAGCTTTAATGTTGAAAAACCCTTTGATTGATCATCTCGACATGGAGATATATGATCATGAAAATAAAAAGATTTTAAGTCTCAAAAATAGTGCATTTTATAACATATTATCTACACCGTCCATTTTCAAGATTTTCATATGTTTATAGATCTACTTGATTTTAACCATTTTTAAAATTTAAAATTCTATAATTAGATATAAACATAAATTCTCTCGCCTTTTCATTAACTTCAAAGGTCGCTGAGGGCACCAACAATAGAGAGCACACCCATAGAGGAAAAGGACCATGTAGAATGAAGGGTGGCAGCGGGCCGGGCCAGGACCAGTGCAAGGCGCTGTCCCCATAGGCCGGCCATGACCATGTTAGGGCCAGGATGAGCTAAAAATGAACAAAAAACAAAAACAAGGAAAGAGAACCAGGCTGGGCCAGGCTGGCCCTTAGGCCATAGTGTGTGGCCCATGGGGCCTACACTTTTAGGGTCGGACCAAATGGGCTGTGTTGGGCCACTCAGTCCATTGCCAGCCTATGTAGAACGATTACTAAAGAGTAACTTTTCAAGCATGTATAGCCCCCTACGGGAGCACAATAAAATATTTGTTTAGGGTTGCAAATGGGGCCCTAGCCTAAGCAAGTTCAGGGACCTTTGGCTACTTGGGGTTGGCTGTCCTAGCTTCAGTCCATTTCATACTTGACCTGACAAAAATAAATAAAATGAAAAATAAATAAATAAATAAATAAAACGTATAACCAAATAAAACCTTGAGCCAGGGGCCATGGCTCCTAGGCCTAGCCCAACCCAGCCGATCCCAACTCGGCCTTAAGGCTAACATTTGTGCCCTAGGCCCGGGTCAGGCAAACCAAGTAAATTCACGCCACCTGACTCATTGTCAAATAATCGTAGGGCATGATTTTCCTCACGCACAAATATAGAATGTGCGATTTTTGTTCTTGTTATTTTCTTTATTGGTCTCCATTGAGGTTATGTCCTAAAGATTTGAGGTCCCAAATATAGTTCTAGAGTTGAATGGGTCGGATCAGGTCCGGATCCACCAGGATACTGATTTGGATACGAAAATTATACATGGGATTTGGATTTGGATCCGGATAGGATCC